CCTGCCAGTCCTGCTAGCCTCCAGTGGGGGGCACCCTTCCTAGCTCACGGGGCTTCATTGCACTCCAGGTCCCCGACACCATGCAAACACGGGCAGCACTGATGCCGTATCCTGCTGGAGTTGTGCTCTGGGGCGCCTGCCCCTGCAGGTGTACAGCAGTGTCCCCGAGTCTCCACGTCCTGTGAAGTCACTGCCGTTGTCCCCCCTCACTGGTCGTGAGGCCTCTAGGCCACCTCCTGCCCCATAACTGGTAAGAATACGTATTCAAGTGATGGCAGCGGTGACCCACTTATTAGCAGATGTCACAGCCCCAGGGCACGGCGGCGATGCTGAAAGAACAGAGGGAGACATGGCAGGGAGGGACACGTCCTTGGGAAGGAGCCTTCTATTCCAACGCCGCTTCACTATCTAGGAGCCGAGCGAGGGGCGGCCGGAGCGACAGCTAATCAATCCGGTGACGCGCAGGATGTGCAGACGCGGATCACTGCACAGGCACCTTCCTCGGGCAGCGTCGCCCCAGCCCTCCACAAACGTCAAGCGCCAAGGGCTGAGGCCCAGGCGCGACCGGCCCCCGCCTCCCTGGGCCTGGCAGCGGGGCTGCCCTGCTAGCTGAGCAGGTCTGTCACCCGGGCCAGAGGACGTGGCTGAGAGGCCGAGGAGCAGGGCCCCAGGCTCTGCCTCAGCTCTGTGGCCCTGGGGGAAGTCACAGCCTCCAAGCCTCAGCTTTTTTTTTTTTTTTTCTGCTATAAAATGGGGGTAAGATGTCACGGACCTTACTGCGTGGTCCGAGGACCAAATCAGAAACGAGAAGGTAGCTGGCAACATGCTACGCCAATGCAAGACGAACCCCAGCAAGAAGGACCAGTCACGACCCGGCACACCACTGCCCGGGTGCACTGCTCCCTTAGAGCCCCCCAAAGGATGTGTCCCCCTCAGACAGTACTGTTTTAGGAAAAAACCAGTTGGTTTGAAAAAGCGGGCTGCACACTGGTTAAGTGCTGCAGATGGTCAGTGGCAAGTGTCGCCGAGTAAGAAGGACCCAAGAGGGAATCAGAGGACACGCCTCCTGACAAAGAAAGAGAACACAGAATTCTCAGGGAAGGCCCGGGGGACCCTTCTGATGTTACCTTGAGCCGGTTCCCAGACTCTCTGCTCTAGGAAGAGAGAGTCCAGCAGGCAGAACTCCCCCTCGGCCCCTAACACACACCTGCTTCTCCAGGGGCATTTCCGGAGGGAGTCTGGGGAGAACCCCTCTGTCCGGCAGAGGGTGGCGGGTCACCGGCCGGGCACCTGCATCTCTCTCCCCGGTCGCCCATGCCCTGGAGGTGGCTCTCACAGCTCCTGCGTTCAAGGCAGGGTGGCAAGCCAGGGTGATCTTGCCCTGTTTCAAGGCAGCCCATGAGGGCCCCCCCCTCAATACCGCCCGTGTGCGGCCGAGTCTCCAGCCGGGATGAGCTCCCTTCTGCCATCTGCGCTCCCAGCTCTGCTCGGCCCGTGCCTGCTGGGCTGCCGGTGACCCAGCAGCCCCTGTCCATCTGTGAATGGTGGTTGCCGCTCCTGTGACTGGCCAGGAGCCTTCAGCACTTGGGGAGTCCCACTGTCCCCCCAGGCTTCCCTCTGACACTGCAAAGGAGGAGGCAGTGACAGGGCCCAGGCCCTGGGCAGAGGAGGTGAAGAGCAGGCTGGGAAGCACTGTGGGTATGAGGAAGCGAAACAGGAACACTTGGCCGTGCCCTTGACTCTCGGGGACTGCGATCCATGTTCTGGTTCCCGGGCACTGGGGACAGTCTGAGCCTGGACTGGACTGATTTACGTAGCATCCTAGCACTTCACCACGGTCCCTGGCGCCTGCTCACTGTAGAGGAAGGAATGAAATGCTAAATTCTGGCTTTGTTTGCTACCAAAGCCGCAGAAGCTCTGCAGAAAGCATCCCAAGATATCCCAGCCCGGAGGCAAGGTTGCGGGTTTGAAAGAGCACTTCGCTAGTTGATCCTTCAAAGGAGCAGGAGGGGCGGCGGGTGGGGTCATGAGACGCCGAGGCCTGAAAGTAGGTCCTGATGTCAGTTCTCATGGTCCTCGTAACAGGGCTGGGTCGCTGCTGGCTCCAGCTGCGGCCACTTGCTGGGGCGCCCTGGGGAGCCCACCTGACTCACAGGACCCTCACCTCCCAGCACCCTGTGATGCGGCCCCTCCGAGGAGGGAGAGGGAGAAACCGATTCATGTCGGCTGCTCTGCACTCACAGGATGTGGGTGGGGTCGCCAGGTGCATGAGGGGAGGAAGAATTTTCCATTTGTTAAGGTCAAGGGCTTGGAGAGGGGACCGGGAGCTGCTGGGAGAGAAAGCTCCCTCCCTGTGTGTGGTCCGGACGCTGCACACGGAGTTAATATCCCCAATATTCTCATTCTGCGTGTGCAACGCAGCAGGCTCTGAAAATTAAACCGCAAAATGAAAGCCTGTACCTTTATCCCCCAGAACATACTGTCCCGGAATAGCAATGAAGAAGTGGTCATCAGGAGGCCCTTTCAAACACGCAGGCCCAGACAGGTGCACCTTCTGCCCAGGACAGAGAGGGCTGTGCCGGGGTCGGAAGGGCGCTTTAAGTCCGCTCACTGCCTTGCCCGACACTTGGGTGAAGCCTGGCTGGCAGCAAAGTCAGAAACGGCTGGTAGAGAGGGGCACAGAGAGGGGCACAGGAGCCTCCAGAAGGGAAGGACAACCTTCTGAACGAGGGTGACTGGAGGGCAAGGGGAAGGACGACCTTGGTTCCCATGATCTAAAGAGGCCGCTGGGGAAGATGCCATCATCACGAGCAACAGAGAGCCCAGGACTCAGGAAGGAACCCACACCTGCCGACCCCTTCTCCACTCGCTATGCCCCTCCCACCTCAGAAAAAGGGACGCAGAGCACCCAGTACTTAGGGTCGGGAGACACTGTCCTGCAGCAGCCAGGGACCTGGGAGCCACATGCAAAGCTGTGAAGTAACTCTGGAGACAAAGGCACGGTCCACCTGCCGTGAACTCTCCAAAGCGGGGGGGTGGGAGGTGAGGGGGGTGGGGAAGAGCATGCTGGAACTGCAGACGTTCCAGCAGCCCCGAGCCCCCAGCAGTGGGCAGGGTGGGAGGCAGCAATAGCCCAGTGAGAACAGACCGTGTCCGCTCCCCGTCCCCCACTACAGCTTTTACAGGCCCGGTGGCAATTAGCTGTAGGAGCTATAAGCACATGTCGGAACTGCAGACGTTCCAGCAGCCCCGAGCCGCCGGCAGTGGGCAGGGTGGGAGGCAGCAATAGCCCAGAGAGAACAGGCCGTGTCCGCTCCCCGTCCCCCTCCTGTTTCTACAGCTTTTGCAGGCCCGGTGGCAATTAGCTGTAGGAGCTATAAGCACGTATCTGGGCGGCGAAGGCAGTAATTAATGCCCGTCTGCTTTCCTGAAGGTTCCTTCTGTTCGGTCGGAGTTATTGAGATTCGGGGAGCGAGGCTTCCAGGATGTGGAAGGTTTGCAGGAAGAAGTGCAGGAACAATCGAGTAAGACAGTGATGATGCTTCTAAATAATTTACCCGGCCAACGGCAGCAGCCAAGATTCCCAGGCTCCGTATCTCCTTTGCCGTGGGAGGGGGATGTGCCGGGCAGAGCCTGCACAGGGGCCAGCGGCCCCCTGGGAAAGACCCACCCGAGGGCTCTGCATCGCCCCTCTGCCCACACGTTCCCTGTGCTCACGTGCTCCGTGTCTGTGTGAGCCGGCCCGTGCCAGTTAGAGATCCAGATGGGTTGCTACACTTCCTGGTACTTTTGCTAATGTTACCAATCACTGTCTTGCAATGCTAAGAGGCTAACAGACCTGGGCTCTCCTGGCTGCCCTACCTAGTTACTCTGCCCACCCCCAAGGTGGGGAGGCAGGGAAGGGGGTAGGAGCTCAGATGCATTTCCACTAAAAGATCAATTCCCAGCCAGAGCCGAACGTGGGAGAGAAGAAACACAGACCACGCGACGGCTCCGGAAATGCAGAGGGAAAACTTCTCGCCCAGGGTTTGGGCCACAGGACTCCTCTGGTAGGTCGCTGGGGTGGGGCTGGGGAAGGCAGGACAACCACTCAGCAGCCCCGGGGGTTAACGAATTCAGACACGAACGAACGAACGAACGAACGAACAACACAGCCGGCAAGGCCTGCGCGAACCTTCGCCAGGACAGGCGTAATTAACTTAAGAGGCCGGCTCCCCGAATCGCTCAGCTCTCTCCAAATCAGCTAAGTGGCCACGTGTCAAACTGTGTGTCACCTAGCACACCTAAATGTGTGTCAGGGCTGAGGACCAAGAGGAAGCAGAATATTAATAGATACTGCAAAAGGCAAAGAGAAACATTTCTCAGTCCCGCCCGCAAAGCAGGCAGAGATAAATAACTGTCTGGTTTTGTATCTTATTACTTCTCCTCCCCTCCGCCCCCGCCCAATGGCACAAAGCAATCAAGAAGGAGCCTGGAGATTCATCATCTTCCCTTGTCGGCGGGGGGCGGGGAGCAGGGAAGACGGGGAGCTCAGATGGCAGGGAAGGCTGGTGGCTCAGAAAAGCCTCCGGGGTCCCCCTGGAAAGCCAGTTAACACGGCTCAGTCCTGCCTGCCCGCGGGAAACCTGGGTCCACCGTATGCTCCTGGGCTGGCCAGGAGGGGGGTCAAAGCATGGACGTCTCCAGAAAAGTCGCCCTGGCACTCACTCCGACGGGGCTTTGCTAAGACTGCCCCTCAAACCCGAGCTACGTTCGCCGCCCTGAAGCTGGCCATGATCGGAATGCCAACTCCATACCACATATGACAGAGGCTGGCCGCCAGGACACTCTGGGGCTAGAGTCTTAGTGACACGATCCACTTCTGGCCAGGACCAAGGCCCCAGTAATGAGCAGAGTGTGGAGCCACGCAGACCTTTCTCTCGGGAGGGTTGTGCCAGAGGCTAGAGGCAGCCCACATGCCCAGGCGGGGCGGGGCCGCGGGCAGGCGCCAGGCCACTCACCAAGTAGACGCGGTAGACGTCCCCTCGGCGCAGGGGCCCCCAGCACAGGTCCGTGTCGTTGTACTTGGTGTCGGCCTCCACACCGCAGGAGTCGTTGCCAGTGGCGCTGCTGATAAAGAGAACAGTGGCTCAGAGTGGCCCTCCCTGCTTGGCTGGAAGCACACAGCAGGCCACATTATTAATCATTGGCAACCACTGAGCCCCCCACTCCCCCCATAGCAGCTTTTGGTCCAATAATCTGACTTTCCACAAACCGCATATTCCTGGGTTTTAGGGCATGCATCACTCGTTCCTGTCTGACCATCAGGACCCCCCAGGGGACTCCCAGTCACCTTCCCGATGGGGCAGGGCAGGGGACAGCTGTGGAGTGGGTCTCTGAGGGACAGTATGCACAGCTGGCTGGGTCGTGCTGACGGATTCACTCGGTGTGTGTTTCTACCCTGAAAACCCTGCCCTGACCGCCCAGGAAGCCCATGTGGCGACACGAGGGGGTTGGGGTGGGAGGGGACACTCACCAGGACACCTGCATGAGGGAGAAGGGCACGGCGGCAGCGTAGATGGCCAGGTCCCCGTACAGGTAGATGATGATGCAGAAATAGAACAGGTTGACCCCCACTGGAAGGAACAAAGTCACCAGTCAGGCAGCAACAGGAGCGCCGGCATTTTTTTTTGAGGACTCAGCTTCTACCCCTCCCATAGTTTTTGGTTCTCCTGGCTCCTATTCTCTCCCAAAAGGATGAGAAAACGACCCCAAAGCTACACTGTAATGCAGGCAGGAGACACATCTCCTCATGACTTTCACCCGAGAGAGGCTAAGTGAGGCTCCAGACAGGTTCCAGGTGAGTGAGAGGCGTGGGCTGGGGAGGAACCAGAGGCACCTTCAGGCTCGGGACAGGGTGTCTGGGGAAGGGGTGGAGGGGGAGAGGAGGGAGAGGGAGAAGAGATGTCCTGGGTGAGGCCCCTGGGCCAGGGTCCCCTTTACAGCCAAGCCCAGGCTCTAAGACAGAAGACGCTGCCAGGGAATTGAAAAGCAGAGAAGGTAACAGAAGGCGCAGCTTCTAAAGCTACAATGGGGAGGGTAAAGCCCTCAATTTCCAAAGACCAATGGCCAAGCCCCGGAGGGTCGGTGGCCAGGCGTGCGAGGAGAGGTGCTGGGAGAGGCAGCAGCAGGAGCGGTGCTCCAGGTGGGCCACTCTCCTTACGAAGCGTCACCTGACCTGGTCCCCTGGTCCCCTGACCTGCAGGAGGGGCCTGCACTCGGAGCTGGGAGTGCAGGCTCTGGTCCTGATCCCATTGGTCTCACTTCCCACACCCTGACCGCCTCCAACCCCGTACAGTGAGGACTCCACCGGCGCTAAACGCCGAGTGCCTCCAGCTATAAGACGCCGAAGAAAGGTCTGGGCCCTGCAGCCCCAGGGTCACGGCCCGACAGCCAGTCTCAAACCTCCGTTCAGACTGACTGCTCATTTTGATGGTACTGATCTCAAGCGGCTGGCTTCACGGGGAACAGAAAGAAAAATGAAGTGACAGCTCCCTCCCGATGCCGGTGGCTCAGAAAAGCCTCCGGGGCCCCAGGGGAAAGCCGGGACATGCTCCTCCTGGGCTCTCTGAGGGCGGCTCTGCTCCTAGGAGTCTCGAGGGGGGGGAAGACCAGGAAAAAACAGACCTTGAAAGAACCCAGGAGCCTCAGACAGCCTCACTGTCCAAGCTCAGTGGCCCCCGCGGTCTGCTTGCCACTCACACCCAGGCTCCAAGGACAGCCCATGCCCCAGCTTGTCTTTCTGCAGCGAGGAACTCCCCTCCCCCCCCCCAGCCTCTCCTTCACCTGCCACAGAATCAGGGAGGAACTCCCCGCCCCCCCCGGCCCCCAGCCTCTCCTTCACCTGCCACAGAATCTGGGGTCAGCTCTGTTTGTAAACTGCCACTGGCCCTCCCTGATCAATACATTTCATTACTAGACACAAAATGTTGGAAGATCAATGAATTTCCTGAGAGGACAGCAATGACGGAGGCCTGGCATTCCTAATGACAAGAGATGAGGCTGGTCTCATTTTGTGGGGGGTGGCGGCCTTTGGTGAGGGTGGTAGGTGACAATCTGTAAATCGGGAATAGAGCAGAGCAGTGGTTTTCAACGGGGGGGCAATTTTGTCCCGCAACCCCTACTGGGACATGTGACAATGTCATAGCTGGGAGGTGCTGCTGGAAACGCTTCTCAGCACCCGATGGGCACAGGACAGGCCCCCTGACAAAGGGTGGTCCGCCCGGACGGCAGCAGTGCTGAGTGGACACCGGAGACGACGGAGAAGGCGTCCTCTAAGCGGGCGCTGCTCGCACACGGATGTGCTTGCTATTCAGTTGAGGTAAACCAGGAGCCTACCGCACGGGAAGAGAAGACAAAACAAACCACAAGTTCCTAGAATTCTTAAGAAATCAGCGCGGAATACAAAACACGCAAATCAGAAAGGAGGTTTAAAAGGTAAGTGTCTGCCCTCCAATGTGCTTTTAAAAAAATATATTTTTTATTGATTTCAGAGAGAAAGAGAGAGGGAGAGAGAGAGAGAAACATCAAGGATGAGAGAGAATCACTGACTGGCTGCCTCCTGCACGCCCCCCACCTGGGGATTGAGCCCACAACCCGGGTTTGTGCTCTGACCAGGAATTGAACACTGACCTCCTGGTTCATAGGTTGACACTCAATCACTGAGCCACACCGGCCGGGCTCTACTGTGCATTTTATTTCAAAAGCTTGCATTTGGAAGGATGGTTTCAGGGGGGGACATGTTTACGATCTCTTATCTTAGTCTAGTGCAGTGATGGCGAACCTATGACACGCGTGTCAGAGGTGACATTCGAACTCATTTTTTTGGTTGATTTTTCTTTGTTAAATAGCATTTAAGTACATAAAATAAATATCAAAAATATAAATCTTTGTTTTACTATGGTTGCAAATATCAAAAAGTTTCTATATGTGACATGGCACCAGAGTTAAGTTAGGGTTTTTCAAAATGCTGACACGCTGAGCTCAAAGGTTCACCATCACTGGTCTAGTGAGGCGGGGAGAGGGCAGAAATGGAACAAATGGACACAGAAGTGGGCAGACACGGCCGATCTGGTTTTCACGAATCCTGGAAACCCTCTGTGAGGCTGGCACGGGGGATGGGAGCAGACGCTCGGGCCACCTTTGCCTGCTGATGACAATCTTTTGGACTAGACCCGTGGCCGGCAAACTGAGGCTCGCGAGCCACATGCGGCTCTTTGGCCCCTTGAGTGTGGCTCTTCCACAAAATACCACAAAATACCACATGCGGGCGCACATGTACAGTGCGACTGAAACTTCGTGGCCCATGGGCAGAAGTCGGTATTTTGTGGAAGAGCCACACCCAAGGGGCCAAAGAGCCGCATGTGGCTCGCGAGCTGCAGTTTGCCGAGCCGCAGTTTGCAGACCACTGGACTGGACAGTCCCATAACCCCACCAGTGGGAAAGAGAACACTCAGTGTCCTAAAAAGCAGCAAGGAGCTTCCAGTTCCTACACCCCCACCCCCATCCCAGCTCTAAGTACAGCCATGTTCACAACGGAAAAGAACGGGTGGTGACGCCCCCCGCTGCAGCCAGGGGCTCCGGCAAAGGGGCAGAAAACCTCCCAGGGGAGCTGCAAAGGCAAGGATGTCAGATGTGTCGGACTCTAAGAAGGAAAAACAGGTGTGAGCATTAAAAAACGACACTCTTGCATAGCTCCTCTTGCAAAAGAACGAGATTTGCCACGGAGGCATAAGGTGTTTTGGTGAAACACCCAACAAGCCAGCGCCCGAGCTCGGCTGGATCCTGTCAGCTTGCAGCCAAGCCCCCGAAGGGAAGGGCAGGAATCCCAAGCTGTGCAGTGCGCAGGTAGAGTGGGGAGAGGTTCTAAGGCCCTCAGATCCCAGACAGCAGCCCTGTGCACGGGCTCCCAGCGCCCTCTGCTGGCCACCAGGAAGAGACGAAAACACACTCAGCGAAGCCTCTACACAGAAGAGTCCAGAAGCAGAGAGACAAGTCAGAGGCAATCAAGCAAGAGGCACAACGTGACCAGCCGGCCTCCATGGGTCCCCTTCCTTGGGCAGCTGCTTAGGACTCCCGACCTCTATGTTCAGTAGGAGATAAGCAGCCACCTCTCTATTCCTAGCGCCGATGACCGAAGAGGAATCCAGGGAAACCACCTGAAGCCGCCCAGGTCTCTCGGCGGCTGGCTGCTCAGAGCACTGGGAGTGGGTCAGCAATCCGCTCCTCCCATCGCCTGCCCCGTCCCACTGTCCAGGTGGGACCCTCATTCCAAGCGCCCGGGTCAGTAGGAAGTGCTAGCCCTCCCGCTCCCTCGCCACCTTGGAAATAACGTGTACCTTTACTGAAGAACATGGAGGCCATCTGTCCCATTTCCACGCGGTCTGTGATTTCAAAAAGGTTCGGAGAGCCGCGTCTCTCTGTGGAGCCAGAGGACAAGGAAGAGGAGGAGGTCAGTTCACTTGGCTTCTAGAAGGGGCTACTGAGCTCAGAACTCTCCAGAATAATAAAATCCCCGCGTTTTAAACTCTTGAGAAAACTTTTCCTATTGCTTATGGTTCAAAATATCTAGAAAGGGACCTCAGGGATGCTGGTCGTGGGGTCAGAAGGGGACGCTTAGCCCTTGCTCGGCCAGAGCAGGGATCAGACTCTCGGGCATGTGCGGTGCGAGTGTGTGTGAGTGTGTGTGTGTGTGTGTGTGTGTGAGTGTATGTGTGTGTGTGTATGTGTGTGTGTGTGTGTGTGTGAGAGAGTGTGTGTGTGTGTGTGTGTGTGTGTGTGAGTGTGTGTGTGAGAGTGTGTATGTGTGTGTGTGTGTGTGTGTGTAGTGGGAAGGGAGGAAGGAGAGAACTCGGAGACCCTAGATTTACTGGCACACCCAGTGTGCACCAGCACTGAAACAGGTATTTCATTATTCCCACAACGGCAGCTGAGGTGGGAAGCTGGGGTGCCCAGGTTAGGCAACTTGCCCAAGCTGCAAGCGTTACTAAGTGCTGAGCCTGCAGGGGGAAGCCTGGGTCCTGGACTCCTTACTCTACCACGGAGCCTTCCCAGGAGCCACCTGCAGGCGAGAAGGGCCACGGGGTCTCTGCAGAGACTCCCCCAGTCCTCTCCGCAGGGAAAGGGACCCTGTGGCCCCAGGGAAGCGCAGGCTGGCCAGGAACCCCAAGACTTACGCACAGACAGGATGGGCCGTTTCTCTGCCCGCTCGTAGTTGTCCTGGACGAGACTGTCACTGTCAGAGGCGGTGGAGGAGCTGTCGTCTTCTTCCTAGGACAGGGCGCGGCAAGGAGGGGAACAAGCACAGGAAAGGGGTCCATTACGGCAGGAAACCCCGTGACAACGGAGCACCTGCCTCCTTTGTTATTTCTTTCTGGAAGGTATCTGATTGGGAAGCTCTCGCCACGTCCACTCGGTCACATTAGAAGGCGCAGGCACAGTTGGACGTTGGGTCCAAGGCCACGGCACAGACCCTGGTGCAGAAGCTCAGCGGGACTGAGCTGGGTCAAGGTGGGGCAGGAGGGACCCGGGAGGCAAACTGGAAAGAGCAGAGGCTGCAGGCGTTCTGTGAGCTTAGGTGGCTGCTAAGCTTTTGCTCGGGGATGGGTCCCTAGTAGCGCTGTGGACTCAGGTCCTCCACGCATCGGGAGGGAAAGGACTCGCCAATGAGTGGCACACAAGCGGACGGAGGCACTGCCTGGAGACTAGGGCAACGGGCGCACCTGGTGGTTCTCCATCCTCTTCCAGTGGAGCTGCGCGTTGGCTGCGGCCATGGCCTCTACCACAAAGGTCGTCGTCACAAAGCTGCAGGGGAAGGCCACGCGTGAATCGCCAAAGGCAGGCAGGAGGGTTAGAGGAGAAACAAAGAAAAAGGAGGAGTCATTTCAAAGACCTGACTGGACCAACAACCTGGCCAGACCGAAGCCCTGTCCCTCGTTGGAGCTGTTTCCTGGGAAACTCTCACGATGGGTCTGGCCTGATCAGAAGTGTGTGTGCGTGCGTGTGTGTGTGTGTGTGTGCGTGTGTGTGTGTGTGTGTGTGTGTACACGGGCTGCCTCCTGTGCTTGCCTCGATGTCCCCGTCCCCATGTAAAAGGTGTTTCGGATGCACGGGAGAGGCGACACAGGGCCATGCAGTACCGCACACCAAAAAGGGGCCTGTTGGGGGCAGGGGTGGGAGGACAGACCCCACCTGGTGCTCTAGGTCAGGAGGAGGAGGCAGGTTCACGGGCCCGCAAGGTGCCGGGAAGGGCAGAGGCAGCCTCCACTCTCCTTGCTGGGACACGGGCACGCGGTCAAGTCCCAATGACACGCTGATGACGGAGCACAGGCAGGATAATGGAAAAGGATCACTTGGCTCTGGAACCTGTCCTCGCCGCCCTTTTGGGGGTGGTGTATTTTCACTTTCCTAATAACCTGGCTAATATGAAAATAAGCTTGCATTTTTATGGCCTCCATCAAAAGGGAGGCAAGGAGGCGGCACCAGACATTTGCTGAGAAGTCAGACTACAGTGACAAATCACCCTTTCTCTTCCTCGTAAAGAAACCGGAGAGGCCGAGACGACAGCTGGGACTCACGGATGCTGCTGTAGCAGGAGGCACAGGGGAGGCGGCCTTCCCGCCACAGACCTGAGGGAGGGCTCTGTCCCTGCCACCACCACCTGGACAGCACGGCTCTGCCACTGGACTTGACCCGGAGCCCTCCGAGGGCTGTCACCTGCCCTAGGCAGACTCCTCAGCCCAGCAGTCAGGTGGCAGGTGCGATAGGAGTTAAATCCATATCCACTCCGGGTTGGGGGCGGGCAGCCAGCTCAGCATCTCCTAGGACGATTTCTCATTATCCTGCCTAAGTGACCATTTTAAGGCTTTAGATTTTCCCTTCTTTTTGGAAGTAAAACTAAAATCAATCTTAATTAAGGCGTGAAGAGGCTTCTCACGGTTGCACAAAGCCAACTCATTGATCATGTTCAAATATAAATGGGGTGAGCAAGGCGGGGGCATGGTGGCCCCTACCCGGGGCCCCCAATAATCACTCCCCACTCAGACGGCTGCCGGTGCTGAAGGGCCTTTAGAGGGGACAGCAGAGTCACAGAAGGACAAGGACTTTTAGGGCTCTTGGCTGCCAAGGCTCACAGGACGTCATTATGAGCCAACAGCACCAAGGTTGGCCCCCAAACCGCCCTAAGGAAAATGCATGAACGGACTGAAGAACTCGGGCATTCTCCTACCCCCCCGAGCCTCTTCAAGGTCTCAGTCAGCTCCAACTACCCATGTTCCGTTCTTCCACTCCTCTCTCCTGCCATCTGCTTAAATGCCGCCTCCGTGACCCCCGAGCACCGACCTGAAACTGTGATCACCCGCCCTCCCCCACTATGGTTGTGGGGTTTTGTCTCATTGTTACTACATCACCTTCTAACTGACTCTGCGGTTTACTTATTTGTTATCTTACTCCTCACTGCCTGTCTCCCACCAAAAAGGAGAGTGCAGGGCAGGGCTCCGTGCTGCTCAGTGGGGTACCAGCACCTGAGGACCGCGGGGTGTCACCTCTCCGGGGTGTTGACAGGTGGTGCCTCCCACCTCTTTTTTAGAGCTTGTGGATTCCTACCCAGGAGAGAGGGCTTCGTCCTGAATCCCTCACCAGCCTGGGCACTGGCTAACCGGCGTCAGACCTGCCTGCCTGCATCCCCCATGTGGCTCCGGGAGCAGGACCCTGGAGGGCTGAGAGGCGCCGGCCTGGGTGCTGCCGGGCATGAGGCAGGTGAGGGCAACACCCGGCTATGCGTGTGCTGTGTGTTTACCACTTACTACTCCATGAACTATCTGAAGCAAATTCTAAATTCCAAACCGATTTCCCGGCACCTTCAACAACTGTCAGATTCTCTTCCTGTGGCTCGGTGGTATTTCCTCAAGAATGTACACGAGGGGAGGCACCCCGGCCGGGGAGGAACCACGTGTGACATTCCAGTCTCCGTTTTAGCTGGTCAGGGCTGTGCAACGCTCCACCAGCACGAGGCACTGGAGACCTTTGTATCCCCCCCCCCTACCCCTTTCGGCCACCTTGTTGAAGACTCATCACCGACATCTTCCTGCCCCCAAGGACGTTTCCCCACCTCCCCGTGCTTCCTGGGCAGGCTGCTCAGCTTTGCCCCGGCCCCCAGCCCCCAGCCCTGAGCCCCGAGTGACAGCCTCTTACCTCATGAAGCCCAGGAACACCAGCAGGAACAGGCTGACAAGCCACCCAGCAGAGGCAAAGGCCTTGGGCATGGTGAGCGCGCCAGTGCCCACGATGAGGTTGAACATGTACACCAGTCCAACCTGGGACACACAGAAGCGACAGTCAAGCCCAGGCATTAACTAACCTCTCCCTCCAATGGCGCCCAAGGACGACCCAGGGGCAGCAAGACCACGGCGGCCAGGAGGCCTGCCTCCAGACAGGGAGGCAGGGAAGGAGGAGCATTCCACCCAGGTGCTCACCAGGCCTGCCCTGCACCCGGATGTTGGGGACCAGACCCCAACACTTGGATGACTGAAGCCCCACATCCCATGGATCCTTTCTAATGTCTCCGATGATCAGTTTTTTAAAAAAATATATTTTATTGATTTTTTACAGAGAGGAAGGGAGAGGGATAGAGAATTAGAAACATCGATGAGAGAGAAACATCAATCAGCTGCCTCCTGTACACCCCCTACTGGGGATGTGCCCGCAACTGAGGTACATGCCCTTGACCGGAATCGAACCTGGGACCCTTCAGTTCGCAGGCTGACACTCTATCCACTGAGCCAAACCGGTTAGGGCTGATCAGTTTTATGCTCCATTTTTGCCGCCACCACCCCACCTCTTGTCATTTCATTCCTCAGAGCTGCGTCACAGATGTTAGCTCTTTGCCCAACCAGACCGTGGTCTCCCATTTTTCCTAGCTCACCGGGCACGTGGCCCAGGCCTCCTCCCCACCCATTCTGCCATCGTCCTTCGGGACCCTGATATTCCTGCTGCTTCCCCTTCCCTGTCTTCCTCCCCACATGAACTTCAGGGATTTTTTTTAAAAGTTGAGATAGAATTCACATGCCATGAAATCCATTCCTTTAAAGCACACAGTTCAGTGGTTTTCAGTATATTCATGAGGTTGTGCAATCAGCATCACCATCTAATTCCACCTCATCCCCCCCAAAAAGGAACCCTGCACCCACCTGCAGCCGCTCCCCATTCCTGCTAGTCCCTGGCCACCAAGCTCAGTGCACTCGCAGTGTCACCGACTTCAGGGTTTAAACTCAACTCTAATTCACGCCAACCCGACTCCAGCTCCGTTAATTACAATTATTCCGCACCCCTCGGGCTGGCACACAGCCTCAAGACAGGAGTCCTCAGCGGGGCTGCGGGCCCTCGCTCAGGTCCTCTCGGACACGAGGCTGACAGTTTCATTGGTTTGAAGCATCATTATCTTAATGTGATCTCATGGACAGATCCCAGAAGGATGAAAAGTTTGGCTCGTCTTCCACAGCGCCCGATTGGATCACCACACTACAGTCAGGTGACACCCTGCTGGGAGCCCTGGCCCAGGGGGGGCTTGCGAGAACCCGAGGGTGGCAGCCGGGTGAGAAACAGGACACACAGCACACCTGGCCTTCCCAACAGGAAGTCCCCAGAGCTGGCTTTTCACAAGCAACTCAGTGTCCATGACACACTAATTTGTCCTTTTATTTTTTTATATTTTATTGATATTTTACAGAGAGGAAGGGAGAGAGATAGAGAGTTAGAAACATCGATCAGCTGCCTCCTGCACATCTCCCACTGGGGATGTGCCCCAACCAAGGTACATGCCCTTGACCGGAATCGAACCTGGGACCTTTCAGTCCCCAGGCCGACGCTCTATCCACTGAGGCAAACCAGTTTCGGCTAATTTGTCCTTTTGTTGGCTGACTTCAATCGCGCTGAGGCTGGTGTAACCCAGTGCGGGAATGAGCCCCTCAGCTAGCTCAGTTCTGCTCATTCGCTCGTCTATTCAGCAACTTCCCAGAGCCTCCCATGGGCCTGGCTCTGTGCTGGGAGCTGGGGAGAGGACACTGAGTAAGACAGACAGGGCCCTTGACCTCACGTGGGGGGAGAGGCAACAGAACAGTGATGAGCGCCTCGCAGAAGTGTCCTGAAGGAAAGAAGCAGGGCGCAGGGCACCGTGACAAAGGATCATGGGAACACTTTAACCACAGGACACTCAGGACCTGAAGGATGAGAGGGAGCCGCCCAGGCACAGGGCCAGGGAAGAACCTCCAGGTAAAGGCCTGAGGTGGGAAGGGAGGTACGGCCGAGGGGCTCTGAGGCAGGTCGGGCTGAAGCACAGCCAGGCAGTGGAACGGCGTGGGGCCCTGGTGCCCGTGATGGGGGTTCAACGTTTTGCAGGGTTTCTGGGCACTAACCGACCAGGCCCTGTTGATGACCTAACATTTGATCTCCCTGAAGCTTTGTTCTCTATCACTTTTTAAAAATATATATATTTTTATTGATCTCAGAGAGGATGGGAGAGGGAGAGAAATAGAAACATCAATGATGAGAGAGAATCACCGAACGGCTGTCTCCTGCACGCCCCCCACTGGGGATTGAGCCCACAACCCGGGCATGTGCCCTTGACCGGAATCAAACCTGGGACCCTTCAGTCCACAGGCTGATGCTCTATCCACTGAGCCAAACCAGCTAGGGCTCTATCTATCACTTTTATAAGAAGCAAACCTTGCCCTGGCCCGTGTGGTCCAGGTGGTTGGAGCCTTGTCCCCTACACCCTTCTGTAAGGTTCATTATCCACTGAGCCCAGATCCTGCTCTCACAGGGGATCAAGAACTATTCTCCCAGGATGACGGGGTGAAGGAGACCTCAGCAAGAAGGCATGCTCGCTCCTCATACCCTGACCACTAAGTCCTGGTAATGCCACCTCATCCTCAACACAGGCCCTCTCTCCCTACCAGTAGAATAAGAGAATACATGCCGTAGTTGATGCAAATGCCCAGAGCAGGCGCTCAAAAACCCCCGAACACACAGGAAATGAAAGATAAAAAATAGAAAAAAGCAGCCCGGCCGGTGTTGCTCAGCGGTTGAGTGTCGTTCCATGCACCAAGAGGTCACCTGTTGATTCCTGGTCAGGGCACACGCCCAGGTTGTGGGTTCGATCCCCAGGAGGGGACGTGCAGGAGGCAACCACTGGATGTATGTTTCTCTCTCATCGATGTTTCCATCTATGCCTCTCCCTTCCTCTTTCTCAAAAATCAATAAAAACATGTTTTTTAAAAAAAGCAGAAGCCACCGAGGCCTTTAGGGTTCACTGCCCTGTTGCCTGTGGGCACATGCTGACATGTGAAATGATTACATTTCAGCTGGAGGCACAAGAAAAGCGGGCATATCAAAGTTTTTTCGTTCCTCAAACTCAGTTGCAGAAATGACTCAGCTCTAAGCTCTCAGATGTTCTGAGCAGCAGCAGGAACCCCAGGGACTTTGATGGACACAGCGGACCTTACCCTGCTGGTACCAAAAGGAGGCTGTGTGCTGTGACACAATTGCTCAGATGAGAGGGACGCGATTCCGTTCACCCCAAGTTCAAGAAAGTGCCCCCCACCACCCCGCACGTTGCTGAGGTAAAGAAGGCTCCTCCCGTGCTGCACACGGATGGCCCATGCCCGGCGGGAAGACCCTGCTGTGGAGGATTTTCCAGCTGTTCTCAGAGGCACCTCCTCGGCCATCACACCACAGCTGTAGAGGCGGGGACGCTAACGGGAACAGGGCAGGCATCCCGGGCCGGGAAGGTCAGTGCAAAGCAGGGCGGCTGTTAAAGGCTAGGTAGGTTCTAGAAAGAGGACTCTTGCTGCTTAAGATGGTGCTGCTTTCCCTGGATACCTGGTAGCAACATGAGTCAGTCCTTTGATTATTCCCTCCCTCCAGCTACTTATCCAGGCAAGAGCACTCCATGATGTAAACATGGCCAATCTTACATCACACAAAGAAGATAAACGGAGTGTGTGTGTGTGTGTGTGTGTGTGGGGTAACACAATCCCAAGTTCGGAGAAATCAATCATTCCAGTTGTTCTAATTACAGACTCCACCAAACTGCAACTGAAGTGTCTGCGTGCTTCCTCTGCCTCTTACGCCATCCAAGACTGCAAAAGTTGTGCAACTTAAAATTCAGCTAAAAACCCAAGGCGTTTCAAACTGCTGACATGAGCAAAACCCAGGCAACAGCTGTCAATCACTGTCCATTTGAAGGACAGGCAGCACAGTGTGCAGGGGGTAGCGGCCCTGAGGTACAGAGTTGGCAAGTCAATTTCGTTTTCTTGACCGCTCTCTGATCAACATGTAAAAGGTGAACAAACCTGCTTTTGCTGGTTTGGCTCAATGGATAGAGCGGCAGCCTGCAGACAGAAGGGTCCTGGGTTGATTCTGATCAAGGGCACATGCCTGGGTTATGGGCTTGATCCCCAGTAGGGGGCGTGCATGCCAATCAATGATTCTCTCTCATCACTGATGTTTCTATTTCTCTCTCCCTCTATGAAATCAATGAAAATATATTTTTTTAAAAAGTGAACAAACCTGAGTCTCATAACACTGAGCCACCAAGGCTGCTGCTGGAGGTCCCCCACCCGGCTCTCCCCAGGGTCTAGGCACGCGGGGGCACGGGCTCGGGCTCGGGCTCGGGCCAGGCCAGGCCACTGCGAGCAGAGGGCTTCTCGGAAGCCAGGGCAACTCATGTGGGCAAAACAGGTTCTAAAAGTAAAACTCACGTAGGGAGAATAGAGCTCCCCGGTCTCCGTGATTTCACCCGCCATTTCCAAAAGTGAGGAAGGGCGCGCCGGCGGGGCGGGGCGTTCTTCCTCGCGGGGGCGGCGGCTGCTGCGGCTCCCTAAGGCAAAGAGCAGACGTCAGCTTGCGGATGGACCTGGACGGGCCTCGACGGAGGTGGCGGCAGGTCTGCAGACGCCCCCGCACCTCGCGCCCCGGTCCTTTATCACAGACACTCATGGTGTCCACGTCTGTAACAAGGCGGCCGGGGGGAGGTCTCCCGGGATGACGCCCACCTGGCTGGAGTTTCCTTGCCGCTCAGACCCCGAGTCATATAAGAGGCCTTGGAAGCCACGAAGCCGCAGGCACCACAAGCGCCCCCTTGCCACACTGTGGGACGCTTGCTCCCGGTTGAATGCAGGGACAGCGAGCTCACTACCGCACAGGGCAGCCCAAGTCACTGTCCGCCTCTCCGCCTAGGACGAGGGGCCAGGGGCTTTCCCAGGTCGCCCTCCAACCCAACTTCTTGCCCCAAAGCCTCGCCTTTTTAATGGGGCTTCCACTTCCTGAACCCCTAACCTGCTCTCTGCCCTCCCGGCCATAGGGCTCCCCACTCTCAAGCCTCCCCCTCTTCTCAAGAGCCCCCGTTCCGAGCCTCTCCCCGACTTCTCCCTCCCTCCAGAGAGAACCGGAATCTGCGCCGCCCCAGCCCACCCACCGTCGCGCGCGGCCCCTTACCTGC